CATAAAGATCTAATCGTAAACTTTTTCTTTCATCCTGTTATAAATAAAAAAGTGTTTATAGTTAGCGATGCATGTCACGCTTTAAAATTGATTCGTAACACCATTGCAACTGAAAATTTATATGATGCGGATGATAATGTCATTAGTTGGTCACATATAGAGGCTTTAGTTGATTTTCAAGATGTCAATGGTCTTAAAATAAGTAAAATGACCAAGGAACACTTACAATGGGAAAGTTGCAAAATGAATGTGCGAGTAGCAGCACAGACATTGAGCAAAAGCACAAGCGATGGACTCAAATACTGTAAAGATACATTAAAACTATCCGAATTCCAAAATGTTGAAGGAACTGTAAAATGTTCATCAAATGTTGATGCAGGTTTCAATATTTTGAATTCTCGGGAATTATATCCTACAGATCCGTCGAAAGCTGCAATTTCAAAAGACAACGTGGACAGTATTACTAAAACAGCAAAAAATATTACCGCTTACTTAAAAGCACTAAAATTAAAAGACGGTAGTCCTGTGATAAATTGTAAAAAAAAGACTGGGTTTATCGGCATGATTATTTCACTGCAAAGTGTTATTGACATTTACAATGAATACTACGAGAATCACAGTGGTTTTCTTTTGACTTATAAATTGTCGCAGGATCACTTAGAGGTGTATTTCAGTGCTGTAAGAACCAGAGGTGGTCACAGCAACAATCCTACAGCCTATCAATTTATGCATATAATGAAAAAATTATTAATGCACGCGGATATTAAAGGCTCTGATAAAGCTAACTGCATACTTTTAGATGGCTCTACAATATTACAAGTATATGAATCGCCTCGATGCATTCAACGGTCAGTAGAAATTCAACCTTTGTCAGCGAACTATGATGAATATGTAGATTTTCATTTAAATATTGCGGATGGACAATTGATTCAAAGTGATGATTTTTACGGCGTTAACACTAATCTTAAATATATCAATGATGTAGTTACTTACATAGCAGGTGCTGTGTTAAGGTCGTTACTAAAAAAATGCAAATGTTGCATTTGCCCAGTATTATTGACGCTCGATGTGAAAGAACCAAGCGAATCCGACATTTTAAATATAAAGAATCGTGGAGGCTTATGCAAACCTTCCACAGGAGTCGTGTCAGTTTGTAAAATTGCAGAAAAAATATTTAGAGAACTGTATAGGTCAAGGCGAGAAATTTATAAAAATTTAATTAACATAACTTTGCAAAAAATACCAGAAAGTGTTTTAGAGATACATCATTCAAACGATCCCGAATCACATAGATTTGTTTTAATAAAAAAAATCTTAGAAATTTATTTTTTGATAAGAATTAAACACTATGAAAAAACTAAATTATCTTCTATAAAAAAAGTCCGGCACACCTATACAAAATTAATTCTTTTCAAAAATCAATAGAAAAAAATATTTCAATCGCGTTTCCTCATAAGTAAAATTTTAACAAATCGAAATTTTATACACTTATAAAAATATAAAGCTAGTCAAATGGGATAAATTTGAATATTTTAAATTCAAATAAAAATAAAAATGTAAATATATGATATAGTTTGTTACAGCTATTATTAAAAATATGTACAAAATGTGCATATAAAAATGCATATACATATACTAATTTTATAAAAAGTATTTCACTGTACTCGTACTGATTTAACGTGCATTCTAATTTAATTTTTAAAAATTATTATCAAACAGCGTATGATTCTTTTAAGTAAATCTTTATAATAAATAGTATAATGAATTAATTTCACATTCAGTAAAGTTTAATTCAAATGTTACAACTTAAGTATGTACAATTTATAAGAATGTAATATTTCCTCAGATTTATAATCAATAAATAATTCGTTGATATTTTAAAATAATTGTTTTTTAATAATTAACATAAACATTTTTAATCTTTTCTTAAAATCGTGAAGCTAATATTTTTTCATGGGGATTCGAAGTATCTGACTGATAGTTCGTTAAAATGCAAAATCATTCTAGTTTGACAAAAAGATTCCTTTTATTTTATTATTTATTTATATAAATTTATAGATTATTTCACATCTCATTATTATTTTACATCTCGAGTAAATAAATAATTAAAAAATTAAGTAAATTTAATCTTGAATAAAACTAGTTGACAATTCATTATTTTAATTATTATAAATAAACGAACCACAAGCTTCCCTAAAAGACGACGGAAGAAATGATTAAAAATACTTTAAACAATTCAATGACTTATTTTTATAGAATTTCATTTATTTATTTATATGCAAGAATAATAAAAATGTTTTGACGTATGTGTATACCATCGAGTTATTATTATTATTATTCTCTAATAAAAAAAATGTAAATAAAAAAGTTTTCTATAAGATTTGAACCGGCAAACTACATTATGTTGGGTTTAAAACAGCTGTTAACCTATAACTAAAGAGACAGAAAAGGGTATAACATTCTCTTTCTCTCTCGCACTGGCTTGAAAAACGGTCACACTTTTTTTACACAGCGGGGTGCCTCCATGTATACGAGGTGTGTTCAAAAAGTAACGAGAATTTTTAAATTTCGCGGGTTTGGAGAGTCCGCTTGTATAAAATTTTTTTTTATTATGTTGGTACACATGCCCCTGAAGTACGACAAAATTTTCAGCAATATTCATTGCTTACTTTTTAAGTGGCAGCCGCTAACGTTAGACGTGTTTTTCGAGCTCGGCGATTTTCGTTTGTGAAAAAAAATGGATCAAAGAATTTGTATTAAATTTTGCGTAAAATATGAAATAAAGTGTAGTAAAGTTTGTCAAATGTTAACAAAGGCATATAGTGAGTCTGCTATGAGTAAAGCAAGGATTTATGAGTGGTATAAGCGTTTCCAAGATGGCCACGAAAACGTTGAAGATGACGAACGACCCGGACGCCCAAGCACATCAACAACCGATGAAAACGTGAAAAAAGTGAAAGAAATGGTTATGAACGATCGCCGAATCACAATCAGAGAAATCGCTGATGATGTTGGCATATCAGTTGGCTCATGCCATCAAATTTTTTCGAATGTTTTGTGTATGAAACGTGTGGCAGCAAAATTCGTTCCAAAATTGTTGAATTTCGAACAAAAACAGCGGCGAATGGAAGTTGCTCAGGAGTCGCTAAATGAAGTCAATAACGATGCAGAACTACTAAAACGTGTTATAACAGGTGACGAAACATGGGTTTACGGATATGATGTCGAAACTAAGGCTCAATCGTCCCAGTGGAGGCATTCTGGATCGCCAAGACCGAAAAAGGCTTGACAAGTACGGTCGAATGTGAAGGTTATGCTCACTGTGTTCTTCGATTTTAATGGCATAGTGCATTATGAATTCTTGCCACAAGGTCAAACAATCAATAAGCAGTACTACCTACAAGTTCAACGTCGTTTGCGTGAAGCAATCCGAAAAAAACGCCCGGATTTGTAGCAAAACAATTCATGGCTTTTGCACCACGATAATGCGCCTGCTACCCTGCTAAAAATGTAGGATTAAAAATGATTAAAAATAGGCCAATCATTTTCAATCCTAGATCTGAATCCTTAAAACGTCCATTGAAATGTATTGAAATAATACATCATAAAGCAAAATGATTAAAAATGATTAATGTGGATTTGATTAAATAAGATTTGAACGGATTAAATCGAATAATATTCAATACTTCTTAATGATAAATATTAGCATTGAATGATCGCATTTAATAAATTTTAATGTAATCCTAAAAGGTAGGATTAATAATGACTAAAAATAGACCAATCATTTTCAATCCTAGATCTGAATCCTTCGAAAGTTGATTAAAATTTATTAAGATTTTACATTTTAAAGCACAGTGATTGAAAATGATTAAAATTGATTGGATCAATCAAGATTCAAATGGATTAAATTTGATAATATCGAATACTTTTGAATGAAAAATATTCGCATTGAATGTATACTATTCAATAAGTTTTAATGTTTGTAATTTTGTAATTGTAATTGTTTAAGTTGTAATGATCCTGATATTCTATTTCTATAATTTTTAATCATTTATTGGAAAATATAAAGAGACTTAATAACCTTGAATCATTTTTAATGAATTTAGGATTAGTTTTATTCTTTTTGAAATGTTTTAATAATTTTTTATGCCATTCAATATTTTCTAATAAAGCACGAGTTATTTAATGATAGCTAATCGATTACTTATCAATATGAATTACAGCTCCATTTCAATAATTTTCAATGATCTAATTTTGGAATTTTTTATTGACAAATCAAGAAAACTTCGATTAGCTAGATAGAAAAGGTCAACTTTTAGAAAAGAAAAATTAAGCTATAAACGTATTACCCAATTAAATTCAGTTTTTCAATATTAATTTCAGATGATGTTACCAGATTCATTTATAAAAATTAGTTTGACTATTTCATTATTACTTCATTTATACCTGCATATTTAGTATTTTACCAATTAGTAATCATATACTCACTGAATGGATATCCGATTGAAACGACGAGCATAGAAGAATTAATAAAGAGGCATGATATAAAAAATAGCTTACTTAACTATTGTTTTTATTACAAGACAACAAATACATACATATTTGTCAATTATTTTAAAGACGGTCTCAAACGTCAAAACAAAGAAAATTACATTTTAAAGTCATTTGTGAGCGCTTGAACATTAAAAATAATAAATATTAAATAAATAAATATTTACTTAAAAATAAATGAACAATAGGAAATCAAAGTTAAATAGAGAAGGTCGAGGGTGAGCGTGGTTTAATATACCCACACATCCTTTGACCCACTGTAAAATAAAATATAAATCTATGATTCTTCATCAGAAGAAGATACCAATAGGTCTTCATCAAACATATTTTCTACATTATCAGCACCTTTCTCTTCTGTTTCCACAGTTGTTAAGGGATCGAGACTGAAACTATTCTGAGATTTAGGAAAATCTGAAGGTGATACAAACTCAAAAGTATCATCTAAAGGATTACGTGGTAATTCTGATTTTTTTTGGTTTTGATGCTTTTGGTTGTTTCAGGTTTGAAATTTTCTTAGTTATATACTCTTTAAAATTGGCTATTTGTTCAGAACGGTTGTATGTCTTCATTTGCCTTTTTGTCAGTTCTTGTTCATAGTAATGTTCTAACCAATGTATATAATATGCTGAAAATTGAAGTTGATTTTTCTATTATAATTTTTTCTATGTATTAGATTTCTTGTCGATTTCATTCAGATTCATGTAGGCTATCACTATCGATATTAAATTTTGACTTTTTGCTAATAAAAATGGACTTAATTCTATAGCAAAATCAATAATGCCATCGTATTCTACGTTTAAAAATATATGAAAAACAAATATAAAATTATCGAAAATGATGCTTGACGGTCTTTGTATTTCAAAGAAGTACGAGTACAAATCTGGCTGATCTGTGGAGTATGAATAGAAGTAATTTATTTACTGGATTTTTGGAGAGATATTAAAAACTATTTTCAACAATGGTGTACATAATTTCCACGTATTTTTTTCGTAAAATACGATGGTGCTATTGGTTTTTGTTGGAACCCCTCCAAAAACACTAGAAGTGAAATTCGGAATCGAAAAATACAAAAAAATGCATTAATTAATAAAAATTATAAAAACGAAAAATAGCATATTCTCACCATTTGAAACAGCTTTCCGATGGACTGCACAACAAAATACACCCTAGCTTTCAGTTTCATTATAAAAAAGTCAAAATTTAATATCGATAGTGATAGCCTGCGTGAATCTGAATGGAATCGGTCTTCTATATTTTTAAATAAATTTCTATATCATTTTATCATAATCAATCGTTTTCAATTGTTTACCCCTTCGTAAAAAAGAGAACCGAGAAAAGTAAAACAAGTTTGTTTATGTTCTTATTGTTTGGGAGATCGTCATGTGATCTCTTACAAAGCGACAGCTGATTTTCTTTACGTTCGTTGAAAATTAGTGTAGAGCGCACGCAATTGAAAGTTCGAAAAGGCAATTATGTTAGCATGAATTACTTTTCTTTTAAGGAACCTCATAATTACTTTTCTATAAAGGAATCAAAGCGGGATAACTAAGCAATATCAGTGATAAATTTTTTTAGACGCATACAAATTAAATTCTTATAACGGATTCTTGTTCCTCTCCGAAAATTCTATCAAATTGAGATGTACTGACGTTTTTAAAATATCTATAAGCTTATTTTAAGAGCGAATAAAAAAATATTTTGTTTTTGGCGGACAAAGCGGGGTACCCAATAAAAATCCATTATTTACATTTATAAATTTAAGGTGAAATTTTGATTACTAATTCATCATCTCCCATAACTATTCTTGTGGTAATATCACCGTCTAATGCAACATCAGGTATATCATTTTTTAAAATAAATTATTTAAATTCTATATTTTTTCGAATAAATCGTTTCGTTAAAAAATGTTAGATTCGTAATCAGCGAGCGAAAAAACATCGTAAATCATACATAACGAACATATATAAAGTAATTTGATTATAGATCGAAAAATTTTTTGGAAAAAATGGATCCCCGCTTTGTCCTACCTTGATATTTTAAAACTTTTCCTGTTGAACTGGCTTCACTCAATGGAAATTAAAATATAACGAGTGTTTTTATAGCTTGATCGACGTACTTGAAGATGAGTATATTAAATTTTAGTATCAATTCTTATTTGAGTCTGTATTTTACGAATTAAAAAATGTAAAAACCTGTGAAAAGAGTAGTTAAACGGACGTTACACTCCGTTCGATATATACATCCCACTATATTTTTATGCACGCAGTTATTATAACATTTATAGGTTCTTTTCAAGGGAAAAGAATTTATAGAAGACTGGTCCTGAGTCGTGAAAATGCTCCTAACAAAAAACATCACCGACACCCAGCTTTGCCCACTCTTATTCTATAAAACAAATAAATCTTGTACAGTGCTTACCTTTGCAAGCATTAACCTTTTTGGAATCCAATTTATTAACGTGATTCTCCTTGTTATTCACTTCTTCGTCATCGTTATCATCTTCCAACTCTTGGTTATCGAGATTATATTTTTCAGCAAGTTTCTTATCTTTTCCTTTACGGTTGGTTGTACGACCAGTTAGTGTACTGACTAATAGCACACTCTTCTTGAAAACGGATAAAAGGATGTTACCAACGAACATGCTTGGACTTGTAGAGTCCGCTATTAAACTAGCATGCGTTTCTTCGTCCATCCATTCACCTAGGCCTAAATGTATCTACATAAAAAATATAATGATCATCTTAACAAATCTCATATTAACCCATTAAACGCCAAGACGAATCTAGTCGAGATAGCATCAAACTAACTATTGTATCCGTGGCATGACTAAAAATTGCCCGTGTTTTACCTTTTAAAATTTGCAATTGTTTATAAAAGGTTATTTTAACTAGTTACCAAAAACTTGTTTAATTAAAAAAGCTAATAGCGGCAATTGATTCTACGGGAAAAATTATGAAAGAAACCTGTATAAATACTTTTTTTCAGAATTCAATTTGTTGGTGAAAAATCGTTATAAATAATTTCAGTTCAGCCAGAGATGCCAAACTCGCTATATCTAGAAAAGAAATTTTTTATTTATTTGTATTTAAAAACTAAAAAAAAATACAACATTTTAAAAAAATAACGAAATACGAATAAATAAAAAAAAGATACGTGTCGTGAAACACGCGTAGGAATGAAGTTTCTTTCATTTGTCTCTGCCGATGAATGAATAAGGAAAGGTGTAACTTTTTTGTCTAATTTGATTACTGGTATAACAATAAAAATATGTGAGTATATATGTGAGTATATGTGGTGTAACGGGATCGATTCCGTTTAATTATTTAATTCGCGCTATTATTCTAAAAGGGAGCGCGTAACTGTCAATGCTCAATACGTATCCAGGAGAGAATGAGAAAATATACGCTAGTCAACCAGTAATCGTGAATAACCTACAATAAATTAAAAAGTGAGTAGAAGCTAAGAGATATAAGAGAATCAAAAGAAAACACCTGTTAGTAATACGAACGGGATCTTTTATTATTCCTTATACTCTACAGAAGGTCGGCCCGCGCGTTTGTTTACGTTGACGCTCGCTCTTCGACAACACGCTTTGCCGGTACGCTCGCCGCTCTTTGTTGTTAGAGCCGTTACATGCACGCATCGAACATTAGAAATTAGTTATAAATCATGCGAACCCGAGCGCGTGATTAAGCTGGCCAGCTTACCTTATTTTTGCAGGCGGTCGGAGAACACAGCGATAAATCGCACAGCGCAGAACAGTTATTATTGTTCGTCGTTCGCGGATCGCGAATGCGCGCACACACTGGTTTCGCCCTCGATGGCGAAACCTCACACACTCTGCCTCTCTCTCGTCCTGGTCTCGAGCTGGTGAATCACTGACACCTCGGTGGCAGCTGTTCCGGGTATCTGGAGCTGGTCGTATGTCACTAATCTGGTGCGTGGTCGTCAAGGGCACGTGAGTTTGCGGTAACGAAAACGATAAGCGGGCGGACACTACGATGGTCTAAGCTTTACTGGTTCGATTTCAATCGCGCGCGTTCCGTCTGCTCGCGTGCCGAATTCCTTCGTTACGTATTTTGTCCCCCCGGCAGGTGCTGCCCTCACAGGTAGCAATTAAGTTGAATAATCAGCGCTAATTTGACGTTTACCGTCACAGTGGAATAATATATAAGACTATAAGTGAGTATGTATAATCATATAAATCCATCCTTATGCGGACGCGCTTCACCTGACAATCCACCCTTTTTAAGTAAGTTTCGGGGTAGTTAAGGTTTGTTCGCTTGGAGTTCGAAGCCGACGCCTTTACACTCGGAGTGTATGTCGAAAGTACTACCCTTAGAATCCCTTTCGTAATTATCGGCATATTTCTTAATATCTGTATAATTTAGGTTCGGTGGGTAAGATTTTTAATGTGCTGGTGCAGACGTCCGTATAAGTTAACTCAATATCTGCATAGACTGAGAATATTGTCTGCATATAAATATTATGATTCATGCAGATATATGCGAGTATATATGTATATATACAGTGCCGCTTACGCACTTTTACCCCCCCCCCCCCCCCCCACGGGCAAAATCAGTCTAACTTCAAAGTTTTATATCCCTGGTAGAAATTAACGTACAGAGACGCGCGTGGGTGCGTTTGAAAGGTCTTTTGGAGAGCTTTCAAATGATATGATTCACGGTTACCATCGATTGTTTTTTTAAATTTTGCAACAATTAGGCAAAATTGAAAATTCTGAAATTTTTTTATTATTTTTGACAATTAGCCAATTTTGGAAAAAAAATAGTACGAAAATTTGAAGTACACCATTTTTTAGCTATTACCAAGCCCTATCTGAATCACTCATCAAAAATTTATTTTCGTCAAATATGACGCGCGCACGGGCATTTTTTCCTGGAAGTGACAGTTTTTTTCAACATTTTTTATCTCCATCAAATTGTAACAATCGAAAAAAATTTATAGGAAAAAAAATGTTTGTTTTTTCACGTAGAATACTGCAATAATTTTTTTTTTGGTTTTTCGAAAAATTTTTTTTTTCGGTTTTTTTCAATTTTTTTTTCTCACAGTCGGTACGCTAAAAAGATGAGAAACCACAAAAAAAAATTTTTTTCCACCCATTCAATAATACTACATAACAAGTATCGTAAATTACATAAAAAAAAAATCTTTTTTTTTTCGACCTTGAAAAATAATTTAAACCGAAAAAAAAAATTTTTCGAAAAACCAAAAAAAAAATTATTGCAGTATTCTACGTGAAACAACAAACATTTTTTCTCCTATAAATTTTTTTCGATTGTTACAATTTGACGGAGATAAAAAATGTTGAAAAAAACTGTCACTTCCAGGAAAAAATGTCCGTGCGCGCGTCATATTTGACGAAAATAAATTTTTGATGAGTGATTCAGATAGGGCTTGGTAATAGCTAAAAAATGGTGTACTTCAAATTTTCGTACGATTTTTTTTCCGAAATTGGCTAATTGTCAAAAATAATAAAAAAATTTCAGAATTTTCAATTTTGCATAATTGTTGCAAAATTTAAAAAAACAATCGATGGCAACCGTGAATCATATCATTTGAAAGCTCTCCGAAAGTCCTTTCAAACGCACCCACGCGCGTCTCTGTACGTTAATTTCTACCAGGGATATAAAACTTTGAAGTTAGACTGATTTTGTCCGTAGGGGGGTAAAAGTGCGTGAGCGGCACTGTAGATATACATGTATGTATATACGCGTATATTCTCAACAACAAAAATTTGCGTTTGACGGGTTTCGCGTGTTGTTTTTGAGTGTACCTTTTCGCGTAATGTTTCACTTTTTGCCGGCTAGATCCCCTTCGTCAATCCGAAATAAGAAACTTCGTTCCAAAAAAAAATTCTTTTTGCGATACAACGGGTTCGGCATCTCGGCTAGATTCGGCTTGGGGTTAAAAAGTAATTCAATCAATTCAGATCAATATACATACGCCTTTGCCTTCGACCAAGTATCCTATCGGGAAATCGTTTAATTGTGGATTTATACTTTTTTCCGTGGAATTATAAATTTGGTTTTTTTGATCCATAAGAACTGGAAAATAATGTATCGAATATGTGAGAATAAGAAACATAAAAAAATATAATATTCAGAATTTTTATTGATGAAAAAATATTATTTATGTTACGGTGTGTAGGTTACTTCAAAGTATGTGCGCGTGCGTTCAGTTCTTAATTGTTATAATTTTTGAAGCATTTTATATACAAATAAATTGATTATCAATTGAAATTTATTGAACTATAATTACAAAATGCACACATTATTTACAAAAGAAATTTTAGTATCAGATTGCTAAATCACAAAATCTTTTCAATCATCAATATTTTCAGTAATTGTTAGGGCAGTGCACTTTTCATGCACGTGTAAACATCAATGTATACAAATGCAAGCACACGCGTTGAGAGAAAGAAGCAGGAGTTAAGCACACAATGGAAGCGAAAGAGTCAAACGCATACGCACACTATAGCGCTCATACAGCGCTTGATGCTGCCTTAGTATAAGTTAAGAAGATAGACGCTTAAGCGTTTATTTTCGTTGGTATAAGCGAGAGAGAGATTGAAAGAGAGAAACTCCATCCATGTCGTTAGTTTTGCCTTACGAAGTTCATGAAGGATCGAACAAAGCAATTGAAAGTGAGGTAAATTCTCTGATTTTTGCGGAAAAAAATTATTTTCTTGATTTTTTAATACAAGAGTTTTTTATTACCACAGAAAAGTTTCATGGTATTGAAAATAAAGGTTGAATGACAAAGGTACATTTTTATTTTTTAGTAACAATTTTTTTTTCAACCCCTATTTTAAACCTCTTTAGAATAATTTCGGTAAAAAATAAAGACGCTCATGAATTCAGCGACCTCAAAATTTCCTGGGAACTATTTCTTTTTAATTAAGGAAAGTTAGAAAACCATTGCCATTCAAGGGGTTAAATATTTGCGCATGTTACTTTTCTATACCAATAGATCGTCAGAGAACGGTGGTAAGTTCTACGCTTTCCTGAATAACCGTAGCTATCAGCGAATTAAGCTACGGGAAGACGGTAGAGATTATCGCGTTCAAATTCAGAAGCCGAGCGCTCTGCCGACTAAAATGTACATGTGCAAAATAGTTACAATATGAAAATAAGATAAACACAATTGAAGAAGGAAGAAAAGTTCACAATCACATGCGACTATAATTACTAAAACTTAAAATAAATATATTAATTTATAATAATAAAGGGGTAAATCTTACTAAACTATGTCAAATCGGTGCAACAATCAGTTCACGAAATATTTTAAAAAGAAACCGATTGAAAAAGGTGTACCAAGGTTGGCAAATATATACAAATGCAACCCATACAAATATATAATTACCACAACCAAAAAAAACTATAGTAGTCGTCACCTACTTCTTAATAAATCTCACCGAATCTGCGTCAAATTCAACAGCAGTGAGACATCCTGTTCACGAAAGATGTAGCACTGAAATTGTTACGTGATTATATATACAGGACATAGTCCATATTAGGGATCTCCGATTAAAATCGATTTTTAAATAATTGCTCCATTATTTCGGTCGTAAAATTTATTAGATTATTTCAAGTGGCTATTATTTTACAATTCTACTTACAAATCTAGGTTTTTTTAGTTAAAATTCAAATTCATCTTATTTAAACTCACAGCTGACCTTGTCAACCTCTAGTTACAAAATCGTTATAAATTAAATCATAATTTCTTGAAAATTTATGAATTTCAACCAGAATAAAAGAATGATATTTAATTTGTATTTATAAAAAAAGGATATTTATCAATAATTAATGCTCTAATCGATTCTTAGAGTATTTTTTGTTAAAAATCGATGTCTTTTATTAAGCGATTATGAAAAATCGAATCTTTTGGTACAAATCGGGGATCCCTTGTCCATATACCTACATCTAACATTAAAATAAAGCCAGTAAATTTCGAAAATACTATCGCAATATTTTAACAGCATTACTGACGAAAACAATAGCAATATATTGTATTTATACAAAAATTAATTTTGGGGAAAACATTTTCAAATAATATTGAACATACCTATTATTAGTACTAACCTTTTATATCTTTAATATCTTGAGACATATTGTTAACTAATTTGAGATGACCAATGTTCAAATCTTCATATTTATTATTTAACCCTTTGAAGCACAGTGTCCATCCTGATGGACACATTGATTTATTGCTTCTTTTGCCATTTTAGAACAACATTATGGATTTCAACAGGGTCTTTTGCATTCTTTCAGTTCATTAATAGTTCAAAAACATAATTTTGCAGTTGAAATCAATATATTGGGTTATTTTTTAATATTTTTAAATGAACAAAGAAGAAAAAAATTGAATTTTTGGGGAGAAATTCATTATTGACGCGAATAATGAGAGTATCCCTTTCAAATTTGGTATACAAAGGTTTTTGGGGTCGCTGAATAAGAATTTGACATCAGATTTCAAAAATTGTGTATCCAAGATGGCGGATCTAACATGGCGGGCAAGATTTCCTATATTGATACCAATACTCTAAAATTCATATCTAAAGGGTTTTAGGGGTCGAAGATAACGATTCTGATATCAGGTTTCCGAAATAATGCTTTCAAAATGGCGGATATGTATATTTTTATATTGGCTTGAATACTCTCAAACTCATATCTAAAGTGCCTCAATCTCAGTGATAATCAATATCATACTAGTTTTCTGAAATTCTGCAGCCAAGATGGCCAAAGGATATGATTGATGTACATGCTTATTTGCATGACTTGAAAGTATAATATCTCAGAATAGTGGATACTTCTTTCACTCATTCTCGGCATTACCCGGAGCTTACGACGAGGACGTGATGAGTTCAAGCTCCATTTACGTTTTTTTTTGTATTTTTCATATTTTATATTTTTTTTGTATTTTTTATATTTTATATATTTTTTTTATTTTTTATATTTTATATTATTTTTTATTTTTTATATATTATTTTCTGCATTTTTTATGTTTCATTTTAGTCAATGAGTGTCAACAAATATATGGATGACTCCAGAAGCAAAGAGCCGATCTTTATTTATTTTTCGTAGGTCGGGGGTTGAGGGCCTTTTGGCGATTTGTATGAGCACCAAACACTTTGTATTGAATGTACTCTCCATGGGTCTGAGGGCCATATATATATATATATATATTTGTTTTTTTGAGAGATTCATTCACCTAATCAGAAAACAAAATACTAGAATATTTGAAACAGAATACTAAATTATATTATTAGATTTGTTATCAGCACAACCGAAAACCCTTAGAAATTACGTTTCATGAAAATGAAGTCCCTAAAAATGAAATTTGATATCCGAATTTTTGGATCCGCCATTTTGGATATATTATTTCGGAAATCTGATATCAGATTCGTTATCAGCGAGCCCTAAAAGCCTTTACATTGAATTTTGAAGTATTCAGGCCAATGTAGAAAATAAATGCCTGTCCGCCATTTTGAATTCGCCATTTTGGATACATCATTTAGGAAACCTGATATCAGATTCGTTATCAGTGACCCCTAAAACTCATTAGTTATGAATTTTAAAGTTTTCAAGCGAATATAGAAAAAAATCTATGTCCGCCATTCTGAATCCGCCATCTTAGATGCAAAATTCGAACAATCTAATGTCAGATTCATGATCAGCGACCTCAAAAACCCCTATATATAAATTTTCATCTAAATATCCTGGAGAGAAAAATGTATGCTTCAAAGGGTTAACTTGGCATAATCCTCCTTCAAATTTTTATATTTCTTCTCTAAACTTTTAATATTTCTTTTTAAGTCAGAGATTTGTCTCTCTTTTAACTTTAGAACATCATTGGGTATGAAATCCTGACTCTTCTGTGCGACAAAAATATTAATATTTAACTTAATTACAAAGAATCGAATAAAAAAAGGACCCCGCACAAACCTTATATGGGAAAAAAGCTATTACGGTTAGGACTGCAGTTAACTCGAATTAATAACTCGAATTCTAGCGCTTGGCGACCATTATGCCCGTGGAGGCTTTTGATCTACATAATAAGAGTTATCTGATCCCGAAGTTTGAACCGATTCGACAGAAAGTTTTTTCCTATATAAGTTTTGTGCGGGGTCCTTTATAATTGGATAGCACATAAAAGAATTAAAACAATTGTTCTCTATTGGAACTTACTTTGACCATTAGTTGCGGTTCTCTCTTTTCAAATGTCTTATTGGCAGTCTAACAAAACATTGCAGAATTGAGAATTTTAATATTTGAAAAAATAATAATATTAAGGTGAGTTTCTGGTGAAAATCCTAATTTCTTTGTATTTTGATCTAGGATTTTAAAACTTTGCACATATATTCATTATATCAGAACATATTTAGCTGTTTCACAAGCCTAATTTCAAAATGTTCCATGCGCATACTATTGTCACCAAAATTATTGTTCGAAGGCCCATTTTTTTCGAAGAAGAAAATGTTACAAATCCTAGCAGAGACTTTTTCAAGAAATCCATCCCCAACTGAAATAAACCATGAAATGTAAATAAAATTTACAAAATCAATGAATAATAACACTTTTTCTGACATTCTGTTGTTTATTTCAGTTTGAAATTGGTTTCTAGATAACATGTCTGCTAATATTTGTAGGGTTTGCATCTTCGAAGAGATCCCTCGAACAACTACTTTGATCAAAGTAGTATGCGCATAGAACATTTTAAATGGAAGAAGATATAATCTATCTTATAAGATCATAATTAAGGACAGAAAAGATGATGCTAACAGGATAAGAGTGATCTCAAAATATTTGTATTGTGATATTGAACAAGTGACTACATTTTGAGAATTCTAGATAAAGGCTTAAAAAAAGTGTTGGAAAAAAAGCATGGGAAATTTCACTAGAAATTCACCTTAATTAAATACTTTTTTTTTTTTACCTCGACAGATTTGTCTATATTATTAGATCTGTCTTGATCATTTAGAATAGCAGATTCTTTGAAAACTGTAGGGGAAGCCTGATTTTCAAACGATAAAATATTTCCAATATCCACTTCAGTCATTTGATCAACATCAGATAATTGTCTCCGTTCATCCTTTTTATCTGTAGAACTGCAACGACGCAATTTAATGTTTCTCGAAACATCAGTATCGCTATCATTGTCCGAGTCACACTAAAATTTTGATAAATAAGAAAAGATACACGTATACTAATGTGCACATGTAAATCTAATATGTGGGTTATTATAGCTGTTTTCCTAACTGATGACAATGCACGTGTAAAAATTATTTAAAGAATTAATTTTGTATAATTTTCAATCAAACTTCAATCAATTTTCGTCAATTTTAATCATTTTTTATCATTTTGAATTGGCACCTTTAACTATTACAACTCTTTATTAAATTCCACAAATAAACAATACCAACAAAACAATATGTAGCAGTCCTCAAAGTTGCCACTACCAACACTTTGTAATAGAAATTTTGAAAATTCTACGATTCGCACAACGCGCATGCATTCTGAGCATTACTAATGCATTGCTTATGAAAAAATCGTTTTTTTCAATTATTTATTATTATTATTAGCATTAATAATTTCTGAAAAGTAAAGGTGGCTCAATTAAGATTAGCACGGGTACAGTTTTTTCCATCATTAACATCATAAAAATATTGATTATTTATCAAGAATATCGCTGTTGAAAGATTCCGTAAAACATGCATTGTTCATTAATTTATTTTTAAAGAACAAGAAGGGTGCAGTTAAAATTATTAACATATTTGGAGGGTGCAATTACAGATATTTCGACTAGTATTTTTTTTTTTTTTTATTTCGAGCTGCCAGCTGGGATAAGGTAGGTCAGGTATGGTCTATGTGTGTGCGTGTCGCCGCAGCAAAGGTTGCGACCGATGCGAAGACAGCCCGACACAAATAACATTTTAGAAAAAAAAATGATCACATCTCACGTATATCTAATTGTACTTCTCGAAAAAATAATTATTTGTTATTGTACCATTATATTTCTCATAAAAAATAAGAAATATCCTTATCGATATTTCACCTCCTATTTATTCACGTAAAAGACATAATTAAGCAAAAATAAATTCCCAGAAAAATTGTACCTACTGTAGTCTAAATTGTACCATCAGTACAATTCCATAAATTTGTTTCTAAAAGAAATAATAGGACAATTACAAATTACCACTATTTGTTACATCTTACAAGGATGTCATGCGGAAATGCACTTTGCGCAGGCGTAGAGCTTTAAACAGCGGAAAAATTTTGAAACCAACAATATTACATACATAAATTTATATAAATTCAATTGATGATTTAGTATAGAAATAATTTAACTTGTCAGACAAAATAATTTTCTTTCATCTAACTAATTATTTTTATATTATAAACCTCGAAAATCATTGACAAAGAGAAAGATAACAGCTACACCGATTTGATTTCATGCTAATGCTTACTTTATCCAGATATAGCAATTTAAAGACAACTGTACCTCATTCATCGAACATCCGACTTAATTGTACCGCAATTAGTTTTTCAAACAATTAATTTTTGCTTACTATTTATCGATTATTAATGAAGAATTTTCGATGCAGATTCGAGGTTAGGTACGTTGCGCCGACGCTGTCGGAAGAGGGGAAATTCAAAATATTGCAGGTGGAGAACTTTCAATCTGTTGAATTTTCGTTCAAGTATAGATATTTGGAAATAACGTTGATAGAACCACTCGCGGGCACAGTTTATTCAAATTGTATCGATCATTATCATATTATGTCTCCCGAAAATCAATGGCAAAGAGAAAGATAACAGCTGCACCGATTTGATTTCATGCTAATGCTTACTTTATCCAGATATAGCAATTTAAAGACAACTGTACCTCATTCATCGAACATCCGACTTAATTGTACCGCAATTAGTTTTTCAAACAATTAATTTTTTGCTTACTATTTATCGATTATTAATGAAGAATTTTCGATGCAGATTCGAGGTTAGGTACGTTGCGCCGACGCCGTCGGAAGCGGGGAAATTCAAAATATTGCAGGTGGAGAACTTTCAATCTGTTGAATTTTCGTTCAAGTATAGATATTTGGAAATAACGTT